AGAGAGAGATCGAATTGTTTTCAACTAAAGGTAAAATAAGTTTGGAGCACCAAACTTCCTAAAGGGGGGAAGACTGTGATAACCCTGGTCCGTGTCATGCTAATTAATCTTGATTATGATTGTGATTATGTGTTTGATATGATTTTGAGTGCCATTTATAGGAATATATGTGGTTTTGAATTCTATCTGTTACTCATGGGAAAATCTATTTGATTATCTGCTTTAGAATTTAAATTGAAGGCGCCTATCGGCCACAGAAACCCGAAATTGATTACGCCATTGTGATTTAGCGTAATTTTTAGAGCCTACGGTGAAATTTCATTAGAAATTGATTCGGATCAAAAATAATTGGATTCAGAACGATTAAATTAGGCTCAATTACTTAGCCTTAATAATTTGATTAGGCCAAGGTATATAAGTGCCTATTTTACATTGTTTTGAGCTCATTTTCTCTTTTGGCTGAAAATCACACTCTAGAGAGAAGGGAGATGCCTGCTATAGAGAGAGAAGTAAGGAGAATTGTGGATTTGGCTCAAGTTTGTGAAATTGGAAGGCTAGGCTCAAGATTTAAACTCAATTATGCCTTGAAACTCCTAGGTGAGTAATTGAGCAAAGATTTATGAGCTTGAAATTTGTAATTTTGTGTCGAATTTTATAACAATTAGTAGGTAGAATATAATTTGGGATAGTTTGACTTATAATCAGATAATTTGAAAAAGTAGTGTAATCTAGATACATGAATGATATAGAATTGGTTAATATATCCCGAGTTAATGCATGAAACCATTGCGTAATCAAGCATGTAAGAAGTTGAATATGAGAAATTGGAGGTGTCTGAATCATACATGCAAGCATAGTTTTGTTGAGTTTCATGGTTATAAGAGCACCATTTGTACCATTTGAAAATGAAATGAAGTCAAGAATTGACATGGCATGCATAATTGATGAAGATATGAAGTTTAAATGCATGAATTTAATGTATTGGAAGTAAGTTTGGTATAATTTGGGTTTGCATGCGATTGATTCATGAGATTTGAGCTTCATAATGTAGTTAAATTGGTGTTTGTAGCATGTTAGTAGTTGTATATGAGAGTTTATGGGTTTATAAAATGCAAGCTATGTTGATTTGAATGAACAAGTTTGAAGCTCAAGCTGGTTGCTAGAAATTCCAGAATTCGGCATGTCCGCTCGAGCAGGGAAAGCACCGCTCGAGCATGAAATGCTAGTTCCCAGAACTTTTGCAGACATGGACATCCGCTGCGAGCGGGAGATTCACGCTCGGATTGCGGGGAGCCATGTAGTTTGACTCTTAGCTCGAGCGTCCGAAGTCACGCTCGAGCGTAAAAATGAGACAACCAGTAGCGCTCGAGCGGCCAAAGCCGCGCTCGAGCGGCCAAAGCCGCGCTCGAGCGGCCAAAGCCGCGCTCGAGCGGCCAAAGCCACGCTCGAGCAGGGGGCCCTGTTTCAGAAAGTTTGTAAAGATGTTTTGTGTTTCATTTTCTGTTCTCTTCCATTTCTGAGCACTCTTAGGCATGCATTGAACATTGTAAATGGATTAAGAAGATAATAAAGAGGCCTAAGAGGAGTGCACAAGTTAAGAACGGATTGAATCGTTTGTGACCCATATGTGTTATGTAATGTGTAGGGTTGAGCTCGAAGGCAATCTACCGGTAGAACACTGTGAGTAATATCTTAGTAAAGATATTTTCAAGGGCCGTTTGAATATGTCATTTGATATGTTGGAATACCGTGATGGGCCAAAGGTCATTTGTTGAATGAAAGGGATCATGATCATGAATATGAAATACGCATGGATATGAATATAAAGGGAATGGGCCTGAGGCCGTTTGATACGCCTGATATGTTTGAATTGGGCCCAAGGCCGTTTGATGTGTTCGAATTGGACCAAAGGTCATTTTGAATAGAGAGTTGGTTGGACCAAAGGTTGTTTCATGTAGATGGACCCGAGGTCGTATTGTTTTATATAAGAATTGGACCTGAGGTCGTTTTGCATATGGACATGATGTGTTGGACCTAAGGTCGTTTTGCTTTTTTTTTAGATTTGTAAATCTGGTGTGAATTAGAATAATGGTTCAAATATGTACATTATAAGTATAATTCATTTATGAACGAATCTCATTCATTAATCTCTTTATTTTGATATTATTCACTGGGCATTAGCTCACTCTCATTTATATGTATGTAGCTGAGGAAAGGGACATTCAACCCCAGCCTTAGCGGAATTTAAGAAAGGAACCCGAGTTTTTTGAAGTCAGCCCAGGTGCCTCACGCAAGAGGCTTTGTTTATGATCTTTTGTATTCCTTTTGCTATTTCTATTGGTCATGATAGACCGGTTATGTGCATAAGCTTTTGGTTTAGCTGACTATGTGTTTGAATGGTCCTGAGTATACAAGATGTTAACTATTGATATGTGGTGTGGGTTATTATTAAGTATATGTGAAATGTTTAGTTATATCATGTAAGCATAGCTCATTGGACAAAATTTTTAAGTTTGCTTCCGCATCTAGCCCCATATTATTAATTATTAATTGATATCAGGTTTGAGGCCGTAGGTAATCTCATGATTACTGGCCGGTTATGATCTTAATCTATAGGGGCGGGTTTGGGTCATGACACAAACCGTGCCAAGGGAGTATCATCCTGGTGCAACTCAACAAACTGTTCTCTCAACCTTTCCCAAGCAGAAGGAGTGAAATACCTAGCAAAAAAGGCCTCGGTAAAAGCAACCCACATGCTACCTGTGGTGTTCTTAGCATGCTTCCACCAATACCCACGTCACCCCTCAGTTAGAAACTCACCAACGAAATCCTCAACTCCTCATCCTCGACTCTGAGCCTATCAAGAGTCTTGGTAATCTGCTCCAACCAATCCTCTGCTTCCAACAGTTTAGCCTCCCCCACAAACTGTGGTGGATTGGAACAAAGAAATTCCTTAATAAGCTTGAGGGTATGCCCATTGTCACCCTCATTGCAAGCTAGATCATCCTGCACTGCATTCACAATCTCGCATACAACTTCCTCGGCAACAATTGATGCTGCAACGACAGTCGCTAAAGGAACCGTTGTTCCCTTACTGGCACTCCTATTCCCAACTTGTCCCCTATTCCTTTGTGTAGACATCCTATAAAACCCAAAACAAAACCAAACTTAGTGCACAACACCACAATCCTTCTCCGAGACATAAACTCACTAAACCCCCAAACACATCATTCTACTACATATAAACGATTGAACACTTAGTCACATAATCGAATCAAGTCCACAAGGACAACTGCTTTTCCCAGAACTCTCAAGGAACTCTCATCAGAAACCACGTTGATCAGGCATATTTCCGATAATACCTCAAAGCAAGTTTACCGGCTACAAGTACTATCCAAGAAAATTAATCCCATGCTCACATAAATGCAACATATAAATTCTAACACTTATCCTAACTATATGCAACATCTTCACCAAGTATAGTAAACCTGATGTGGTAAAAACCACTCCCCACGAGCCCAAAGTATTCAAACCCGGCTCACTCTAATACAAAGTTGTCATATCCCACCTTTTATTACTCGGGTAACATTACCAAATCATTATTATAAACAATTTCAGAGATAGCAAACAGAAGTTCCAATATCTTAATAAAGATAACACAACGAAGAATCTCTCATTTGTATATAAATAGATGCAACATGTGACATAATTATAGTAAATTGCCTGTAGGCTTACATCATTATATGAAAGAGAAAGGGTTTAACCCTTTTTATAACAATGGCATTTGGCCAACAATTAAAAACCCAGTGGCCAACACGCAATGAAGATCCTCAATCTTGAAACACTTCTCGATGTTCACTTGAAAAAGGATTAACAATGTGGGATGAATATAAAGTCTAGTAAGGATCCTAACATAATCCTAAGCAACAACAACTTACAGATAGCAATAATCATAAATGCTTTAAGTCATACCATATGTACATATGTGCCAGTTTATACTTGAATATATACATACTTATATAGGTATTTTTCTCAAAATCATTCGGTTGATTTAATAATGCAAACCTTTCACTTCTTCTTCTTTTTGTTACCCTTTTTCTTTTAAACTTGCCAGACAATAACAGGTATTTGAAAGCAAACCCATGAAATCCAATTACTTTTCTCCTAATTACCGAATTTACACCCAATTCCAAATTTCAATTTCCAAATAGAAATATCCCATACGACATGATGATGATAAATGTACAATGCTCCTCATATAACCATACAAGACAGTTTACATCTTCCACAACATAACCAACACTATGCATGAAGCACATAAATAAAGCCGAGATGATAATGAGAAACCTAACAACGATCTACCTGCCTCAAGCATGGTATGCCAAGTAAACACCTTTTCAACACTCACACCAATTTACCAAACACCAGCTGGAAGTTAATGGTACCTCTGTCCAGTTCTCTAGGCTCTAACTTGAAGGTATTGGCACCCCACATTGTCAGTGCGGCCAATTCTCCAGGCGCTAGCTGGAAGGTAATGGTACTCCTTATTCTTAGCGCATGCACATTTCCAACCTTCATATAACTCAACAAACAAACATAATCCGAGTGTACTACATACATAAAATCTATTCAACATCACAATGTCATCCTCCATTGGTGACCAAGGACAAAACCTCTATGCACTAATGTTTAAACACATGTAACACGAAAGTCCGACGCACACTTGACCTTAAATCCAACAACAATGATAATGACAACAATATTCAAATATTGCGAAAATCCAACCTCAAGTTCAAATTCTAAATTTGCAATACATCATGGTTTCGTTCTTTTCTTCAAAATCAATCCTTTTGTTTTCCAAGTTAACTTGTCCAATTCCTTTTCTTTTTTTTTTTTCCTTTTAAAAAGACCAATTTCCACATTTTTGATAAAACCACAACCATGGATTTCAAGCCATAACCCAACTAACTTAACATGATTACCCAAATAAATTTTGATACCAAAATTAATTCACCCCTTTTTAATTTGTTAGGTCAATTTATCAAATTAGGGCTTTGTCTTTCTCTTAACATAAACACTATAGCGACGTAGGTTTTTACCCCGACTTTGTGTTCCGGACTCGGATTTCGTGATTGTATACTGTTGTCTATGTTTTGTTTTCTTCCTTTAACCCTTTGTATTTGAGTTTTGGATTATGTTGGGCGTGTTTGGAACAAATTGGTTGTTAGTTGGTCTAGAATGTTATCGCCCAAATTTTGGCTACTTCGTTCGAACGAGCCTTGTGAAATTGTTTATTTGCTCGAGCGAGACTTCTTGCACTCGAGTGTGCGTCTGCGTTGGTGACAGACCTAAAGCTTTGCATTCTACGCTCGAGCGACGCTTTTTGCACTCGAGCAAGGCGACTTGTTGTGCCTGGTCGCTCAAGCGACAACTCCTTTGCTTAAGCGAGCCTGTTTATATCAGATCGTGAATGAGATATTTCAGAACACTTTTGCAGCTCACTCTCTCTCTCTAAAACTCTCCAAAAATGTAGGTTTTCATACTCTTTCTCTAGAATACACCTTCACTCTAAGATTTCATCTAGATCCATTGTGTTCTTGACACTAGTGTCTTTGAGAATAAGGTAGAGGACTTCAAGAGCTTCGTGCTGATCCAAGTAAGAGTTGGTTTCGTCATCTTTGGAGTTTCGATCTTGCTTGCCCGTCTTCCACACTTAAGGTAGGGATTTTCTTTGAGTTATATATATTTTTGCAAGATCTAGAGGATTTGCGAAATCATCCTTTGAGAGCTTTTGAAAAATTGATTGTTGATTCAAGAAAAAGAGTGATTTTAAACGTGGGTTTACTATTTGATCCTTTGAGATAGAAATTGGGGGTTTTGAACTATGTTGATTAAAGAAAGATGTTTTTGATGAGATTTCTTCAAATGTTTTGGAGATGAATTGTTTTGGTAAGAAAACCTAGCAAATAGGAGATTTAAAAAGATGTTGAGAAATCATGGATGTTGGAAAATTTCTTATTTATATTTGTATAAATGATGTTTTCATAGAATATGGAAATTGTTGAAGTTTTGGGAATTGTTGTTTAAAAGTATTAATATAGTCTTGAGATGACTAAATTGTTAAGATTGTTTGAAATGTGGGAATTATGTTATCCCTTGGATGAATTGAAATAAAAGTATTTATTCATCTTGTGAAATTGCATTGAAATGAGAAATGAGAATTTTGATCACAATGGGAATATTGTGTGGAAGTATTGAAAGTGGAAGAAATATTGCATTGTATTGTTAATCATTGTATTGGCATATCAATTCATTTGATAATGAGGAGCTTTGAAATTTGATTTGAAAACTTTGCATTTTGAAAAGAATGTTGAGAAACAAGTTTTCATGAAATGGTTTTGGGGTAAATACGGTGGTAAGTCTTGAAAGGTGGTGTAGATTATAGGTGTCGAGGCTTCCAGTTAATACTGGTAAAAATGACATATTAGAGGTGTCGAGCCTTCCGGTTAATACTGGTAAAAATGACAAATTGATAGTACTTGTATAGTCTACTTGCAGACACCGACCTAGAGATTACCAGAGTAGTATTTATCGTCCCTCAAATAAAATTTGATAAATGTGGAGCAGTTGAAATTTCATGACATCATTGAGCATGTTGGTTTTCAAAAGATGATAGTGTGTTTTACTTTCAAAACGGCATGGCATGGCATAAGCATTTCATCTCACGAGACTTGTATAAAATGTATATACTTTGTTAAGAACTTCCTACTGGGCTTTATGCCCCCCCCCCCTACGGGATTCTTATGTAGGAAAAGATTTGGTGATTCCGCCTAACTGAAGGCATGGAAGTGTGTGTAGAGAGCATAATGTGTTCATTTGCTGTGACTCTGATTGTAAGCCAAGGTCTTTGTATGTGTGGGTTTGAATAACTATTTTGTATAACCAGGCTCAAGTGTTGGAAACTTGTAAACCCTTGGGGGTATTTGTTGTTTAATTAATTGTTGTTGGATTAATTGCATTATCGCATGAAGACTATTTACATCATGTAATGCAAGTATGAGGATTTATTATCAGTTTTACTTTAAAAGACCATGACTATTGTATTACCATTTGGACATGAAAATTGGGGCGTTACAAACACATTAAACCACTCCCCAACTAATCAAACAAAATCTTCTGTGGATCAACAAATATCCCCTCTCTATTAATAACATGCCCTAAAAATGTAGCTTCATTCAGCCAGATTTCACATTTCTTAAAATTCCCAAACAGTTGTTTCTCCCTTAGTGTTTGAAGAATTATTCTAAGTGTTCATGTTCTTCCCCATTCTTTGAATAAATCAAAATATCATCGGCAAAAACCACAACAAATTCATCTAAAAATGGTTTAAAGATTCGGTTCATTAAATCCATGAAGGCTGTAGGTGCATTGCTAATTCTGAAAGGCATGACTGAAAATTCATAATGTTCATACCTGGTCCAGAAGGCAATTTTCTCTATGTCTTCAGCCTTAACTTTCAATTAGTGGTATCTTGATCTCAAATCAATCTTTGAAAATGCCTAAGCCCCTTGTAACTGATCAAACAAATCGTTAATCCGAGACAACGGATATTTTTTTTAATGGTTACCTTATTGAGTTCCCAGTAGCTAATACATAAATGGAGTGTTCCATGATTCTTCTTCACAAACAACACAAGCGCACCCCATGATGATGTGCTCGATCGAATGAACCCTTTATCAAGTAATTCTTACAACTGTACTTTCAGTTCTTTCATTTCAACAGTTGACATTCAGTATGGAGTTTTGGATATGGGTTGATTACCAAGCATTACATCAATCATAAATTAATTTCTCTATCAACTAATTGTCCAGGCAACTCTTCCGGAAACACGTCAGAAAAATCTTTGACAACTGGTATATCATCTAAAATAGCATTTAGAGTTTGAACACTTAGAATACAACACAAATGTCCCTGGCACCCCTTTTTAATCAATTTAAGTATGGTGGGGGAACTAAACCTCTCCCCTCAAAATAGAACTCATTTTGTCCAGGAGGTCAGAATATTACACATTTAGATGCACAATCAATGGTCACATAATATTTAGATAAACAGTCCATACACAGAATAATATCAAAAGGAGTCATGTCTAGGGGAAATAAATCAATATACAATGTAGCATTCTCAAGTAAAATTTCTTATGCGGGGGTAAACAGTTGAACATAACATCGATCTCTTTGAAGGTGATGGCACACATAATATATATCTCAAAGTTTCCAAAGGTCTATTTAGTCTATGAGCAAATTGCATAGAAACAAAAGAGTGGGTAGAACTTGAATCAATCAAAACATTTGCATACTGCCAATAAATAGAGAGTGTACCTGAGACTATAGTTTCTACATTTTGAGTGTCCCCCGATATAAGAGCAATAACCCTTCCATGTCTTTAATTGTCCTTCATCGTAGTTAGAGCTGTATTGGTCCTTACATTTGGTGCTGATGCGGTTGAACTTGTAGCACCCCGATTATCACGTTGTTGTGATTGTCGACATTCTCTTGCTATGTGTCCCATCTTGCCACACAAAAAACAAGCCCCAATAACTCGATGACACACATCCCGGTGCTTTCTTCCACAATCTATACAAACGGGTGTTGAATTACCACTCTGATTGGAGCTACCTGAATTCCCCAACTTTGTTTTCTTAGTCATTACTGAGGTTGCCCTTTTGTTCACGTTCAAATTCTGCCTTTTACCCTTCCATTCAAAATTCCGGTTACATGCAACTAGGTTTTCCTTTGACATGAAAGCCCTGTCTAAAACATCAACATATTTGGGTAGTTTCAAAACATTAATTCTGTTAAGAATTGTATCACGGAGACCTCCTACAAATTTTTTGGCCTTTTTGTAGTCTGTATCGACCATATGCAGCACAAACCATGCTAGTTCAGTCAACTAGGCTTCATACTCTGCTACTGACTTATTCCTTTACTTTAGCTATTCAAACTCTCGTATCCCGAACACGCTGCAGGAAGTATTTCTTGTAGAAAATCTCTAGGATCTGAGCCCAACTAATTTCCCTATGTTTACTTTTTTAACATTTATGAGTAGGTTAGCCCTTTACAGTTTGATGCACATGTTAGTTGGCTTCTCGTCGTAAGCCGTGAGTGATCTTTTAAATTTTTTCAGACATTTAAAGATATGTTTTTTCTACCCCCACCATTTATATACATTAATACCTAACTATTTTCCTCATATTGCAATTACCTACGCATCTATACATCAGATGGTGTCTCTCTCCATGAGTTGTCCTTCGAATTGTCGAAAGTAGGAAACTTCTCTAAGTAAAATGATGATCTATGCTTGAATAGTGCAAATGAGTGAGATCTGTTATATTGTGATAATTGTTCTAGATCTTTTCACATTGGTGAATTCACATTGACTAACTTGCCATTGTTGCATGATTCTTGGTTTTATAACACTAATTCAAAAGATGCTTTGTATTATTATGCCCTGATACTCTCAATGGTGCTTTTGCGGAATGGATGGAAAATAAATTAAGTTATTTAGAAAGCAATGGTAATTGAATGTGACAAATTTAATAAATCAAGATACTACATTTCTATTTTGTCATGTTCCTTTCTATCGTTTCTTTCTTTTTTTAACAGAACATTTTTTTGCTTACTATTCAATTTTTTGAGTTGCACTAGAATATTTTTCGTCTTTATCTTTTTCTTTTCTTCATTAATGCATTGGAAGTTACAACCACTTATCGATAGCATTCATTAAATTCTTATTTTGTCCAATTGCAGAGTGTGTTTCTTTATGTAGCATCACCAGTGCTACTTGGTACTGTAAACTACCAGAACATGTTCCAAAAAAAAAATAAAATAAAATACGAAGCGTAAAGAAAATGTTGTGGCAGCTGGAATAATTGCATAAGCAGAATCTATAGAAGAGATAACCAAGCAGTCCATCCACATTGTTGAAACTACTAAGGCTGATATTGACGGATATGCACTATACAGGTCATCTATCTTAAGAATATTAAGTCATATCCTAATAGTCTACACTATCTTGGCGATGCCAAAAGAATAAATTGAATATGAATAACCATTTCCAATGGAATTCTCTTGAATTCGGTTCCGCTAAAAAGAAACATAATTTTCAATTTTTGTCATAGAAATTCTTGACTTCCATGGACCATATGTATGCAAAGCTCTGTTGCATGTAGCATGGTGTTGCTATACTAGGTCCGATCTCACTTCTTTTTATATCAAATTTAGGAGCAATTTAGAGGTTAGGCGCTTCAATTATTTCCTTTACACCTCCACAAGTGTGATATGCAATAATAAGATGTAGCCTCAATCTCCATGCCGCATAATATTGTCCTTCTCTATCATGGAGCCTTTTTGCTGAAGTCCTCAATCAACTTTTCTCTCTTTTTCTTTCTTCTTGTTCTCATCTTTCAAATCAACATTTGTGAGCTTAATTATTTTTATTTTTTATACTTGCAAGGCCCATGATTTCAGCAAATCAGGATTTGGTCCTAGGACAGTTATCTGTTGTGATTAGGTATTTCATTGTTGTCATTGTCAATGCCTTATCATATTTGAATTTCAGTGTTCTTTTTGGTTCTTCATTGATTGTGATCGTAACAAACTATACGTTTTCGTTCCCTTTTTTTGTTTTGCGTGCTATTTTTTGTGCTTTTAGTGTGAAAAGAAGTATCATGTTGGCTGTTTGAAGCAACATGGAATAATTGATCTAAAGGTCTGCAGTTTATATAATTGCATTTCTTTTTTTCATTTCAACATTTCTCTCTCTCTCTATATATATGCATAAGTTTGTCAAAATATATTTGTACGGGGAAGAAATAATTCTCCTCGTATAATCCTGTTGACCAAGTCCACGCTCCTCCGTACGACGTCGCTTTGTCACCTGAAAACACAAACGTGAGCTAGCCGGCGGGTGTGTGCCGGAAACCTCTCCGATGCCTAAGTCAGAAAACTTGACAAATAGACAAAGCTCAAAGTTCTCAGAAAGATTGTGTTCAATTACCTCCTCCAAGGTGTTGCTTGTGAGCTTTTATAAGTTTCTCACTCAGTCAAACAATTTTTGGACCGAATGGCCTAGTTGGTTGTGGTCACACGTTAACATAATTTGGGTGATTTAAATTATTCGTTAAATTAATCAGATATTTACAATAAGTAATCAAATTATATTTTTCTTAACAACTGTAATATATAATTATAAAAGTTGTTTATTTTTTTTTTAATGCAAATATAAAGCTATCATATTATTACTGTATCTAATTAATTTAATTTTTTTAATTAGATGATGCTCCGTGGGCATCCATTTACTTTATTAGCGTGAAAGAAAATGGATTTTCTTTTATTTAATTGTTTATTTTTTATAAGAAGGCTCCTCTCTAGTCTATTGTGATATTTGAATTTGTAGGGCTCACAACGAGTTTTATGTCGATAATTTAAATTATTTATTTTGTCGAGTATTTCATGTATTTTATTTACATAAAAAATTAAATCAATTTGATAATCATAACATATTAAATTTATCACGTTTGTAAAAAAAAAGATTCTTTATTTTTAAAACACAATTATTGTCATTTTTTTTTTGGCGATAAACATGATAAATTGAATATGTTATGATTATCAGATCGATTTAATTTTTTGTGTAAGTGAAATACATGAAGTGTCCGATAAAATGAGCAGTTCAAATCATCGAAATAGGGTTCGTGGCGGATCCCACGAGTCCAAAAAACACCCTTCAATCTAGATTATGAACTAGACTGAATACTCATCTTTTTTATTTAGGATAAATAAAACAAGTAGCCTGATAAGTCACAGCAACCTGCAACAGATACAGAGCAAGCTATAGCAGTTGCATCTATAGCATGAGTCACATGTGTAATATCCAGCTGTATAGGTTGTTATTTTTGTTATAGGTTGTTAGTTTGTTATAGATTAACTGTCCAGTGTTAACTATGGTTTAGTACGGTTAGGTAGTTATGGTTAAGAGTCATTGAAGTGTATAAATATGACTTCATCCTGTACCAATTGTATTCATTCAATACAAAGTATATTCATTCTCTTTACTTATACTCTAACTATTGTGTCATTTTGATTCATATAATTTCAATTGGTTCGATTTTTATTCTGAATTTTTTTATTTATTTCATCTCAATTTGGTCTAATTGACTATAACCATTATCGTTTTTTTTTTATTTTTACTTATGAAAAATACGTACATGAATAACATATGTCATGATTTTAGGAAAAAAATTATAACCTTGCTCAACCAAATGAATTGACCTCAATGATAATTTTTTTGTCAAAAATCCAAACTAGTATTGTCAATTAGACTAAAATTTACACAACTCATAAAAAATCATTATAAATTATCACATCACTCTCTCTATTTTTTGCATATATTTTCATAAAAAGTAAAAAAATTACTAAAATAGTATCACTACAACATATAAGAGTTTTAGAGACCAAATATTTTGGTCTCTAAAAGTAAAAATTTTGTTGCAAAAGCCATTTAGGAACCAATTTTCATCGTCATGAAAATAGTCGTTAAAAGGTCGTCTCGAAAAGTTCAAAATAAGGCTTTTAGCGACAAAATTTTAAAAATGTCACTAATAAATAGACTTTTAGGGACAAAATAATTTAGTCTCAAAATAGTTTTTTTTTTTTAGACAAAAAATTTGGTCTCAAAAGAATAATAATTTATCACTAATATCTAATTTTTGTTACTAAAAATATAATAACGACACTTTTCGTAACAAAATTATTTTGTCTCTAAAAAATAATTTTATTCATAAATTTTGATAAGGATATAATTTTTCTTATAATTTATATACATACACATGATATAAATATAATATGTGGGTATGTGTACGAGTGTCACCTGAAGAGCATCTCCAATGTTAACAATCAAGGAACCAGGCAAAGGCTTCACATCCACCCACTCTCCTTCATGCTTAACCTGCAAACCCATCACCTGGTTCTCCACCAGAACAGTAAGCACTCCAGGATCCGTATGAGGGTTAAGCCCAAATGTCAAGTTGGGTTGGGGACAATAAGGATAGTACACTCCCGCAATCAACCTCGAACCTAGAAGCCCCTCCTCTTTCAGTTTTCCGGCCGCCAATCCGAGCCCTTCCGACAACAGCTCTGCCACCTTCTCCCCCACATCCGTCACATACCGGTCCCACTCCACCACCTGTTGGGAATTTATGCATCAAAATTAGAGTATTGAGAGCTGCAACAAGTTAAACGTATTAAAATTATAATTTTCTCCCCTCGTGTAAAAATACAACTCTAAAATATAATTTAAAATGTACAGTCACTATATTTTAATTTGTTCTTTATATTTAAATTTTTATTAATTTTATTTATGTGCATATCTTAAAAAATTGACAAATATTTAAAAATTATTAATTTTAATTTTTAATTTAAATAGAAAGGACTACATTGAAATTATGTTTTAAAGTTTAGGAATTAAACTGTACGATTTGAAATTATTGAGATTAGAGTGATATTTAATTTTTTTATCTTAAATTTAGATTAATTACACTTTTCACTCTTGGTTTGACTCAAATTTCTTTTAGTCTCCATAATTTTAATTTCAATAATTTCATCTCTACACTTTAAGTCTAGTTTCGGTTTGGTTATTTCGTTCTAATTTTTGTTAATTTTGTCTATATATACACCTTAGAAATTGATAAGTGTACTTTAAAAAATTAATAAGTGTCTCAAATTTATTAATTTTAATTTCTAATTTTGATAGATTAACCAAATTAAAATTAGATTTAAATTCTACGGACCGAATTATTGATATTAAAACTATAACAATTAAAGTGAAATTTATATCAAATTACAGGAGATGAATAATATAATTAACTCTTTAAATTTTAAAACTTAAAATAAAGTTCCAACACCACCTCCTCCCGGCAAACTGCCGGAATCTTCTCTGCCTCCACAGCATCCGGCCACATCCAAGCATTCACGTAGTCGTGCCAGCTCGCCACCTTCGACCGGAGAAGATCGTTGTTGCTGGCATACACGAATCCGTTGAACTCATCCCGAACGTAGTGCTCTGCCTTTATCTCCTGGGGTTGTTCGTGGAATGATCGGATTGACATGAGTGTTTTGTTGATAATATAATTGGGTACGCCGTGGTTGATCACTTGGAAGAAACCCCAAGTTTTCGCGGCTTCTCGAATTTGGCTGACGATGTTTGGTCGGAGTTTGGGGGAATTTATGTTAGAGAGATCGATTACGGGGATGCCGCCGGTGTTGAAAGATGAAGATTTGAGAGTGGAGAGAGTTTCCGGCGGCTGAATGAAGAATTTGGGGATGGCAGTGACACCGGAATCGGAGAGGCCTTTGACGCCGATTTTGGAATCGTCGAATTCTTTCACTTCCTTCATGCGATCGTAATCGGTAGATGCAATGACTGCCATTTTTCTCAATGTGGTGTGGTGTGGTGTGGTGTGGTGTGTTAATGGTTTACTTTTCATTATAGTTTTATTTATAACGATAAAAGTAAATTATTTTTGAGATTTTAAGAATAAGGTGGGTTGTGAAAAGTAAATTATTAATTTAAACTCATTGGTTAAAATTAGAAGAACATGAAATGATTATAATTTAGATGTGACATTTTATTTTATTAATTTTTTAGTTTATTTTATCTTTTTATGACTATTTTAACCAAAAAGTCCAAAAAAGCCATATGCCAAACGAGCTGCTGCCATTTGGCATGTGGCTTTATTAGTTAGTTTTTTGATTTTTTAGCTATTTTAACTCTAGCTTAAAAGTTCATTTGTATTGACTTTTTTGGCTTTTTAACTTTTATGAGAAAAAAAATGAAATAAAATTATTATGGTTTGAATGTGACATTTTGTCTTATTAACTTTTTAGTCTATTTTGTATTTTGTGACTAATTTAGTCCAAAAAGTCAATGCCAAATGAAGCATATTATGTGTAATCTAATAATATAATGATGTTAATAAGTATATAAATTATTAGTCTTAATTAATTAACTTAATCATCTTTATAATCTAAGTTTGTAAACTCTTATCATATATAATTTTAATTCTAACTCATTATTCTTGAAATTTTAGTATTTTTAACCTTTTTTTTTGTTTTTATTTTTGTGAATCTAGAAATTGAAAAATATTTATTAAATGGATAGATTGAATATATTTGGAATGATGAAAAAACAACTAATTTAATAGTTTTATATAGATTAGTGATTATATTTAGAAGTGACTCAAGTTTGAAAGGTTTTAAACTGATTAAACCACACTGAATCGAACCGTTTCAATTGGTTCGGTTTGCTGCAATTTAATGGGACAAATGATTTATATCGATATTCAAAATAATAAAACCGATATTATAAATTTAATAATTTTTTTTTTATCTAAATACCGATTATATTGAACAAATAACATCACTAATTTTACAGACAACTAAAACTCAACCTGGTGTTCAAAAAAAAAAAAAAAAAAACTAAAACTCAACCTACTTACTAATGTGCGTTTTTACTTTACGTTGATATTGACTTTACTTGCAAATGAAACCAATTTTACTTCTTACAATATAACCCTACTTACATTTCTCTATAATAATAATAATAATAATAATAATAATAAAAATATTACCCTACTTAGTAAATCTTTCGAGTATGTTAAAAGTAATAATTTTGTACTATAGTAGGTCCCTTCAAGGACTTCAGCGCCTAGTCTGTCTTCACTCTCTCCTTTCTGCTTACGATTTTAAAATTTGTGAATTTTTTTTTTTCCTTTTCATTTTTGTGTAAGCAGAAGCCTCTCTTACAAAAGTATATATAATTTATCACAGAGTTTGTTCTTATGTAGTCAAATAGAATGCAATGTTGTTTGATTGTGAAATTATCTTTTATACAATTAGATTAGATGAAATTATTGATAGAATTATGAGTGATAAGTTATGTTAGGAGGTTAAGTGAGATAAAAAATTTGATACATGATATGTGTTAGAATTGATGTATAAAAAGAAATAGAGAATTGTATTATTGATTGATATAATGTTCATATCTATTACAATTATTCATGATTCCTATATATTGATGTATAAAAAGAAATAGAGAATTGTATTATTGATTGATATAATGTTCATATCTATTACAATGATTCATGATTCCTATATATAGAAGAGGGTGAGTATGTAGTAGGTAAGGAGTAGATGAAGTGGAGGTGGTAGTGGTGTAGTGGGTTAGGTTTAGTGGAGTAGGTGAGGTGGTAGTGGTGTAGTGGGTTAGGTTTAGTGGAGTAGGTTTAAGTGGGTGAAGTAGGTGATAGGTTTAGTGGAGTAGGTGAGGTGGTAGTGGTGTAGTGGAGTAGGTGAAGTGGAGGTGGTAGTGGTGTAGTGGGTTAGGTTTAGTGGAGTAGGTGAGATGGTAGTGGTGTAGTGGGTTAGGTTTAGTGGAGTAGGTGAGATGGTAGTGGTGTAGTGGGTTAGGTTTAGTGGAGTAGGTGAGATGGTAGTGGTGTAGTGGGTTAGGTTTAGTGGAGTAGGTGAGATGGTAGTGGTGTAGTGGGTTAGGTTTAGTGGAGTAGGTGAGATGGTAGTGGTGTAGTGGGTTAGGTTTAGTGGAGTAGGTGAGATGGTAGTGGTGTAGTGGGTTAGGTTTAGTGGAGTAGGTGAGATGGTAGTGGTGTAGTGGGTTAGGTTTAGTGGAGTAGGTGAGATGGTAGTGGTGTAGTGGGTTAGGTTTAGTGGAGTAGGTGAGATGGTAGTGGTGTAGTGGGTTAGGTTTAGTGGAGTAGGTGAGATGGTAGTGGTGTAGTGGGTTAGGTTTAGTGGAGTAGGTGAGATGGTAGTGGTGTAGTGGGTTAGGTTTAGTGGAGTAGGTGAGATGGTAGTGGTGTAGTGGGTTAGGTTTAGTGGAGTAGGTGAGATGGTAGTGGTGTAGTGGGTTAGGTTTAGTGGAGTAGGTGAGATGGTAGTGGTGTAGTGGGTTAGGTTTAGTGGAGTAGGTGAGATGGTAGTGGTGTAGTGGGTTAGGTTTAGTGGAGTAGGTGAGATGGTAGTGGTGTAGTGGGTTAGGTTTAGTGGAGTAGGTGAGATGGTAGTGGTGTAGTGGGTTAGGTTTAGTGGAGTAGGTGAGATGGTAGTGGTGTAGTGGGTTAGGTTTAGTGGAGTAGGTGAGATGGTAGTGGTGTAGTGGGTTAGGTTTAGTGGAGTAGGTGAGATGGTAGTGGTGTAGTGGGTTAGGTTTAGTGGAGTAGGTGAGATGGTAGTGGTGTAGTGGGTTAGGTTTAGTGGAGTAGGTGAGATGGTAGTGGTGTAGTGGGTTAGGTTTAGTGGAGTAGGTGAGATGGTAGTGGTGTAGTGGGTTAGGTTTAGTGGAGTAGGTGAGATGGTAGTGGTGTAGTGGGTTAGGTTTAGTGGAGTAGGTGAGATGGTAGTGGTGTAGTGGGTTAGGTTTAGTGGAGTAGGTGAGATGGTAGTGGTGTAGTGGGTTAGGTTTAGTGGAGTAGGTGAGATGGTAGTGGTGTAGTGGGTTAGGTTTAGTGGAGTAGGTGAGATGGTAGTGGTGTAGTGGGTTAGGTTTAGTGGAGTAGGTGAGATGGTAGTGGTGTAGTGGGTTAGGTTTAGTGGAGTAGGTGAGATGGTAGTGGTGTAGTGGGTTAGGTTTAGTGGAGTAGGTGAGATGGTAGTGGTGTAGTGGGTTAGGTTTAGTGGAGTAGGTGAGATGGTAGTGGTGTAGTGGGTTAGGTTTAGTGGAGTAGGTGAGATGGTAGTGGTGTAGTGGGTTAGGTTTAGTGGAGTAGGTGAGATGGTAGTGGTGTAGTGGGTTAGGTTTAGTGGAGTAGGTGAGATGGTAGTGGTGTAGTGGGTTAGGTTTAGTGGAGTAGGTGAGATGGTAGTGGTGTAGTGGGTTAGGTTTAGTGGAGTAGGTGAGATGGTAGTGGTGTAGTGGGTTAGGTTTAGTGGAGTAGGTGAGATGGTAGTGGTGTAGTGGGTTAGGTTTAGTGGAGTAGGTGAGATGGTAGTGGTGTAGTGGGTTAGGTTTAGTGGAGTAGGTGAGATGGTAGTGGTGTAGTGGGTTAGGTTTAGTGGAGTAGGTGAGATGGTAGTGGTGTAGTGGGTTAGGTTTAGTGGAGTAGGTGAGATGGTAGTGGTGTAGTGGGTTAGGTTTAGTGGAGTAGGTGAGATGGTAGTGGTGTAGTGGGTTAGGTTTAGTGGAGTAGGTGAGATGGTAGTGGTGTAGTGGGTTAGGTTTAGTGGAGTAGGTGAGATGGTAGTGGTGTAGTGGGTTAGGTTTAGTGGAGTAGGTGAGATGGTAGTGGTGTAGTGGGTTAGGTTTAGTGGAGTAGGTGAGATGGTAGTGGTGTAGTGGGTTAGGTTTAGTGGAGTAGGTGAGATGGTAGTGGTGTAGTGGGTTAGGTTTAGTGGAGTAGGTGAGATGGTAGTGGTGTAGTGGGTTAGGTTTAGTGGAGTAGGTGAGATGGTAGTGGTGTAGTGGGTTAGGTTTAGTGGAGTAGGTGAGATGGTAGTGGTGTAGTGGGTTAGGTTTAGTGGAGTAGGTGAGATGGTAGTGGTGTAGTGGGTTAGGTTTAGTGGAGTAGGTGAGATGGTAGTGGTGTAGTGGGTTAGGTTTAGTGGAGTAGGTGAGATGGTAGTGGTGTAGTGGGTTAGGTTTAGTGGAGTAGGTGAGATGGTAGTGGTGTAGTGGGTTAGGTTTAGTGGAGTAGGTGAGATGGTAGTGGTGTAGTGGGTTAGGTTTAGTGGAGTAGGTGAGATGGTAGTGGTGTAGTGGGTTAGGTTTAGTGGAGTAGGTGAGATGGTAGTGGTGTAGTGGGTTAGGTTTAGTGGAGTAGGTGAGATGGTAGTGGTGTAGTGGGTTAGGTTTAGTGGAGTAGGTGAGATGGTAGTGGTGTAGTGGGTTAGGTTTAGTGGAGTAGGTGAGATGGTAGTGGTGTAGTGGGTTAGGTTTAGTGGAGTAGGTGAGATGGTAGTGGTGTAGTGGGTTAGGTTTAGTGGAGTAGGTGAGATGGTAGTGGTGTAGTGGGTTAGGTTTAGTGGAGTAGGTGAGATGGTAGTGGTGTAGTGGGTTAGGTTTAGTGGAGTAGGTGAGATGGTAGTGGTGTAGTGGGTTAGGTTTAGTGGAGTAGGTGAGATGGTAGTGGTGTAGTGGGTTAGGTTTAGTGGAGTAGGTGAGATGGTAGTGGTGTAGTGGGTTAGGTTTAGTGGAGTAGGTGAGATGGTAGTGGTGTAGTGGGTTAGGTTTAGTGGAGTAGGTGAGATGGTAGTGGTGTAGTGGGTTAGGTTTAGTGGAGTAGGTGAGATGGTAGTGGTGTAGTGGGTTAGGTTTAGTGGAGTAGGTGAGATGGTAGTGGTGTAGTGGGTTAGGTTTAGTGGAGTAGGTGAGATGGTAGTGGTGTAGTGGGTTAGGTTTAGTGGAGTAGGTGAGATGGTAGTGGTGTAGTGGGTTAGGTTTAGTGGAGTAGGTGA